TTTTTTTTTTTTTTTTTTTTTTTCCACCAGCCCATCTTTCTGTATTCAGGAACTTAACCTGAAGTTCCTGTAGGAACTTAATATCATCAGAATACCCGTTTTGTTTGGTTTCCTATTAGAAAATTATTGGCAGTAGACAAGAGGACAAATGTGTGCTCATAAGAGATAGTAGGTTTGTGTAAGATTTGTCTCCTTAGACACTTGGTTAGAAAGCAAACATCCAATCAGAGTTTACAATTCTCTAATGGTTGCTCTTATCTCTTAGAGAAATAACCGGCTGGCTGATGGTACAGATGATCACAACTGTGCATTCAACTCTGGTCTGTGCATGTGCATATTTGAGTCATGGGATGTGTGTTAGCTTGGCTGTATTAAGGGATAAATTAGCAAAGTTGTAAATTCCTATCTGTTGGAAAAAAAATACAGCCCTTGTCCTATAAGCTCAATTGTATACATGTGAGAAGGCCATTTACTTTTGTGGGGATATTCATTAGGGACATTTGTCTCCCTCCCTCTCTTTCCTTAAAGGGCTCAGTAGCGGCTGGTTTGGCATTGAAAATAGACCTATTTATGAATCAGACACTAGAATCATTACCTGAAGTTATTTTTTAATGTAAATATGACTGTTATGGTGAGGGTGAATATGCAAATTTATGAAGCCAATTATAGGAATAAACATTAGTTAATCCATCAAAAGCTGTAAATTGTATTTTTAATCTTTCAAAGGAATGGCAGGTAATCGTTTCATTGCTTTCTCTGTCTTCCTACTTTCTCACATGTCTGTGAACTTGTTAGAGAACAATTTGGCTCTTAATGTCCAGCTGAGGCAGTTCAGAATAAAACAAGGCAGTGGAAGTTCAAGAGTGACTTACAGCCTGTGTAAACTCACTAAAATTGTAATTGTAATAAATTGGTGCATCAGTGAGCTCCAGATCTAATCTTGTAGCTTTTAATGGAAGTAGCTTGTGGTAAAACTTACTGTCTATGGGCTAAGCCAGATCGGAGGAATGCATTAATCTGTTTTTCCAATACAGATTCCTCTAGTATAAGGGTTCTGTTGCAGGTAATCAAGGGTTCAGTTGAGAAGCATGCAAAATTTATCTACCAGTAAAGTTAGTGAGAATATCACTATTAACATCTAAGGGAATAATGCTGAGAACATCTGAAATTTCTTCCTGGTTTATAAAGTTCAGGTTGTTCCATTTTTTTCTTCTTTTAAATTACAGAGATTGAACCTCAGAAGATCAAAAAAAGTCTGCCCCTACTTACTCCAGTGTTAAATTTTCAGTGATTTCTACTGGAGACTGCTGCTTATTGGAGCCCTTTGGAAAGGTAAAATCACTTCACCTATGAAGATGGAGATGGTGTGCTTTACTTCTTGAGCATCTGTTGTTACAGCTATGTGCTGGTCTGCTTTCATCTAATCCAGTTTCTCTTGGCCTCCCAGAAAGGATTATGATGATTATATAATACTGTTCGCAGGAATACCAAATCTATATTCAAAATACATTGGTCTTGGATATTTCCAGAATCCAGCACAATTTGCAGAATACACGACACAAGTAAAGTTAAATACTTTAAAACATTTAGATCACTACAATTAGTTACAAGGGTTGAATGATGTAATTTAGCAATTAGTTAATTTTTTTTAATGAAGCAAACTCTTTTGTGGTGAACTAATTAACTGTATAACATACCATTTATATACTCTTTATGCTATGTTTCCATTTATATTCTAATAAGGACTTTTGCTGGAACATATTTCACCTAGGTCTTTCTTTCCTATATAGCAAAAGAATGAATTTTTTCAAATGCTAAAATATTATTATTACATGATAAGAGTAGCCCACTTTAGCTGTTTGGAATAGGAGATAAGAGTGGTACACACTGATGATCTTTTAGCCAATATTGGTGCTTTCAGTCCAACTTTAAGTTTCTGTTTCGAAAACTGATCCTAAAATATCCCTGTCTGTCTTAACAGATTGGGTGTGTTTGCATTGGCTTATATCCTTTGGTTAAGAACTATATCTGTTTCTTTGGTATTATGTTTTTCTTCAGCTGTAGATAAGGGATGTTTAAATGTAATACCCTGAGTTTGAAAAATGGGTAGATACTGCAGTTAGAAGTGTTATTAAACATACTTATTTTGGTGTTCCTTAGCTTAGTGCCTATTTTCCTTTCTGAATTGATGTGAGAAAAGATTTATCACAGGAAAAAAATTAACAGTCTTTAGTTGAGTAGGTTCATAACTGTCTTTGCTACAGTGATTCTGTAGAGGTCAAATTGTAGCACAGTGACACATTACACAATTCATTACTCAAAAATCTTGTTGGGAGGCTTATTATTAATGTCAGCTAGCTGTGGTTGCTTGAATGATTTTTCTAGCTGGGCCGCTAAGATATGATAAAACCACTTCGTCTTTGTTTCTAAGTATAGGACATCTGTATTTTGAGTAGAGAGCAGGAATACTGTGTAAAAACCTGACCAGTCATGTTTGAGGATGGTGGGTTTAAATCAGTGTAGGTGCTAAACTGAGCAGAAGGGAAAGACAGGGTTTTTTTGGGTGGGTTTTTTTTTTTTTTTGTGTGTGTGGAAGGAGATGAGATAAGCCTGGCTTGCATCTAGTGAAACAAAGATGGAGAAGATGTATGTTGAATTCTCCAAATCGGTCAGTGCATCAAATTCTGAGGAAGAAAAATTCCTTAAACAAAATGACGAACTTAGGAGGTAAACGGACATAAAATGAGCATGAATAGTTTTTAAGCTGAAATTATGAGCTTTCAATGGGGAAAGGAATATAGTGGAGAAACAAGACTAATTGTGGAAAAGTGAATTAAGCTTGACTTTCTGACATGATTTCGGCAATTTCATTGCAATGGGCTCTGGTATTCCTTTTTCATTTTGAGTGCCTGTGATTATAAGCTTGGCTGAGCAGCTCCTCCGTGTCTCTCCTGAACTTGTACAGAACATACCACAGTAGGACACCAGTCCCTCTGGAGATTTAGAGGTCCTGCAAATATTAATGTGGGCAGAATTCCACTAATGTATTAAATTCCAGTAGTGAATCAAATGCATCTTTTATCTTGTTTTGTAGCAACTTATGTATAACATCTAGAAACAAATTTAGCAATAAATAACAAATAGCCTAAAAAAATCACTTCAAAAGAGCAAAATGTCATGGAAAGAATACTCAGCTGAATGAAATTTTGCTGGTGGGTGCAAGATTTAGATTATGAAATCACAAATAAAGTTTTCAAGGAGAACTGTTCCATTGCTTAGGCAGTAGTTAATTGCTTTTTCTCAAAGCAACAAAATTGCAGCTTGGATTTATCTAAGTATTGATGTGGCTTCCTGCAAAGGAAGTTTGTCTTTGCTGAGATTAATGGCATAGACTAAAAATGGGCCCTTCTTAAATGTAGTATTCCAGTCTTTTAAATGGTTGTGTATTTCATTATGTGGGAACAGGCAGAAGCATGGACTGCTGTGAGGCTTATTGATTGCTGCAGGAGTGAGTACTTCCTAAACAACTGTATCAGCAAAATCAAAGATTTATCAAAATTGTTGAGAATTTGTAAATAAAATAGAATTTCTTAGTCAATATACTAGCAAGTTCTGTCCATTTGAAAAATGGCACATGCCTACACAGGTATTGCTGTTCATGCTGAGTATTTGGAGTATTATGTCTAGCTCTAGTCATAGTGCTCCATAGCACGGATATTGACATCATCTATTACTGAATAGTTAAGTATTCCTAATTACTTTCCTTCACAAGTCCTTTCGTTTAAATATAAGCATAAAAAAAGCCAAAAGTGAAAAAGAAGCCTTTCCCCACGTCTACAGCATCTTTCACTTCTTATGCTTTTCCTTTGTAATACTTAGGTTTGGTACAGTCTACCAATTGCAACCTTTTACTTTACACTGGTAGCAGATGACTTGAAACCCTGTATCGGCTGCGAACATGATTTTGTTTCAAATACAACTGATTCCCATTTGTGTTTCATTATCTTCTTTTACCTTAGATTCCTCTTCTTCCTTTTGGCTTTCAGGTTCTCCTTTTATTTTTTTCCTACTGACTCTGGGTGGTGGTTTTTTGGTGTGGTTTCTTTTGTTTTGTTTTGTTGTTTTTTTCCTTAGGCATTTAGCTTTGCCTCCTGGCTGTAGAATTCAGCATTTTCAATCTTCATCTCTATTCCTTTTGATGTCAGTCTACTCTGTTCTTTATTTCATCTTTTATAAGTTTCCTGATAGCTTCTCTTTTGCTCCTGATAACTCCAATAGCACCTCTTTTGCAGGATTTCCCGTTTTTGGCTTATTTGTGATACCTTAACACGGTTGAGTATTGCCTTCCAAGTGAATAGTTTTATTCAGTGAAAACTGCAATTTTAATCAACCTGAAATCTTTGTGACTTGTGAAATTGGGTGAATACTTTTGGACCTTTAATTTAAAAAGCAGTTCCATGATAACATTTGCTGAAATATATCCAACTTGTTTCGTAGTCTAGATTCATTGGGGATATAGCAGCATTTATAATAGCAGTTTGGAGGAGGTAGCTGATCCTTTTCAGAGTGCTTGCTGCTGTCACAAAATTTACTATGTAGTCTTCCATATCTAAGAAGATAGATAAACAACGATCAAAGAATTTTGAATGGATTTTTCCTGTTCTTCCCTGGTGAAGCTGTTCTGTGTTAATAATTATATTCTTATACTCCAGGACATAACATGAGAATGATCGCCTATGCAGTCAAGAAAATCTGGGTTCCAGTCCCTATTCCAGTGATTATTTAGGTAAATGACACAAAGGGAAGCTGTTTAAAAGGAAAGGGAGACAAATCAGTGCCACACTAGCTTACATTTTAAAGTTTAGAGAAATGCTCTGAAGGCGCATGGAGGGGATTTGAAGGCCGCTCTCCAGAGGAATCATCTAACCAGATGTTCATCAAGTAGAAAGAACAATATAACTCTCTTCTTTGGAATTCTTAGATACAGAGCTTAGGTGTGCAGGTGTATCTCTTTGTTCCACCAGACCTCCACTTCAACCAAAGAAGTTGAAATGTTACGAAATAATTTTACTTTAAACTTATCAAGCCATATGATTTTAAATGCAAAGTATTATGTCAAATCTTACTTTTGGCTTTGTCTGAAACACATTTCCACTGCTTTGGCCATTGAATTGAAAAAAATCAGTCATCCATTGAGCCATAATCTAGACCAAAAAGATCAGACCAGTCATCTTTGTCAAATTCTTCAAGCGATATGTCAGCAGCAGCTCTGTTGCCTTTGTTAGAGCTTTAGCCTTGTATTATATCAAACTTGGGCACCTGGAAAGCAAATTAATCTCCTTTAACAACAGCAGTTGGCTGGCAATTGACTTCTAAAACTCTACCTGAGTCTAATATCTTGGCTGAGAGATCCCAGTGTACATGCAGTAAATGTAACCAGATAATTTATTTAGTGGTTAATTTCTTATTTTTCAGAGAGAACAACTCTGGAAAGCTCAACATTGTTATTAAAATGCGCTATGATATTCTCCTGTGTCCTACTGTGAATATACAGAACCACGTTTTATAAAATACAAATGTTTTTTAAGTCTTTTTTTATTCCTCTGAAAAAAAAAGAGAAAGAAAAAAAAAAGTTTTATTCACAGAACTCAGAGGAAACTGGATTTTTTAGGTAGGTTGTTGATGGCATAAGCCATAAACTATCAAGCTATGTTCATGGGTCAGTGAGCACTTCATGACTGGAGATGTATGAAAGTCTGCTGAGAGAGCACATCACACCCTACTCTTGTTCTAACATCATTCAGTTGTTTTTGAGAGGTGAGAGATTTCTATTTCCCGTACCATCCCTTTTTATTACTTTTAACACCAGCTTTCTGAACATCTTCTCCCCCCCCACCTCTGACCCCCTGCCCTTTGTCCTTGTTTTTTTTTTTTTATTTGCAAGAACAGGTGACTGTGTGGAAGGAAAAATACCAAAAATATGATAGTGACAGAATGTTGATACAGGCAGTACTTTAAATAGTGAGCTGTTTTCATTGTCCTATGTTGCTGTCTTCAAATTCAAGCAACATATTAAATTTTTTATACCTCTTGTATTTTTAAATAAGAAAAGATTTGCTTATGCACAAGCTGAGATAATTAGCAGAAATTATAGTTTAGCTAGAGATTTTGCACTGAAAAACACCTCTCTGTCCCAAAATATTGAAAATATGCTTAGAGATCTTGTTTATTCTTGTGTGCTTTGACAGTGGTGTATTGTGCAAATAACTGTATCTGATTTACCTGGGACATGAAATTGTAGGAGCATTCCTCTTTATCAACAAAGCTGTGAA